TTATTATATTATGTTTTATTAAAATAATTATTTTATTTTATTTAAATATTTACATCGATAAATTTTTTTAATTTTTTAATTCTTTTCTTTAATTGTTTTCATAAAATTTTTAACAAATTTAAATATATTTTTGAACATATCTTGAAATTTTATTTTTTTTATTAAAATTTAAATTTATTACTCTTATTAATTAAATTAAATGTAAATTTTTTCTAAATTTGTTTTTCTATTACTAAAAAATATTAAACATTCTTTATTTTGTAGTCAGTCTAGAGAATTTGAAACTTAGTATTTGGTAACAATTGATATTAAATACTTATATACTACTAGATTTGTGTCATTTCACGTCCCTCCCTGTGACTTACTGGTTCTTATTTTGAACGCTTGTCTAAGCTTGATTTTTTGAACGACTTAATTCAACTTGTGTTGCGAATATCATCTTATAAATTATTTAAACGTGTGTAAGTATAATATAAATTTAATATATAAATATATATTTATCTTTTCTAAAATTGTATATAAAAATATTAAATAAATTTTCAAATAATCAATACGTCAGTCTCATTTCGGAGCCACCATCTTGTTAAACAATTACAGATAAAATTAATTAAAATGTTTCTTAAATTTGAATTATATACAATTATTATACAACAATTTTATTTGAGATATTAATATCAAAGTATCAATTTTTTACACGATATATAAGTAATTAATGTATTAATAAATTTAATGCATTTTTTACATAATTTTTAATTTCTTTAAAAACTCAATTAAGACGCTATTTATTATGAACATTATTTTCGTTTACTTAGCACTATATATATTATATATTATCTAACACTATATAAATTATAAATTTTTATTTATAATTTTTATAATATAATATCTTATTTCTATATAAATAATATGCAAAAAAATATACATAAATATATTAAATATTATTTTATTAGTTAATATATTTAATATATTTTTCAATCTAAAATTATTTATTAAGTAATATATAAATAATTATGAATAATAAATAAATATAGATTTCATAATTTTTCTTTTTTGTAGTTTTCCAAATCTACAATCATGCAGATTTTTGTTAAAACCCTAACTGGAAAAACCATCACTCTTGAAGTTGAAGCTTCAGATACAATAGAGAATGTAAAGGCTAAGATTCAAGATAAAGAAGGAATTCCTCCTGATCAGCAACGATTGATCTTTGCTGGAAAACAACTTGAAGATGGAAGAACACTCTCAGATTATAATATTCAGAAAGAATCTACTCTTCATTTGGTATTGAGACTTCGAGGAGGAATGCAAATCTTTGTCAAAACTCTCACTGGAAAGACTATTACACTTGACGTTGAAGCTTCGGATACGATAGAGAACGTAAAGGCTAAGATTCAAGACAAAGAAGGAATTCCCCCTGACCAACAACGTTTGATTTTTGCTGGTAAACAACTAGAAGATGGAAGAACACTCTCAGATTATAATATTCAGAAAGAATCTACTCTTCATTTGGTATTGAGACTTCGAGGAGGAATGCAAATTTTTGTCAAAACTCTCACTGGAAAAACTATTACTCTTGAAGTTGAAGCTTCGGATACAATAGAAAATGTAAAAGCTAAGNCACTGGAAAGACTATTACACTTGAAGTTGAAGCTTCGGATACGATAGAGAACGTAAAGGCTAAAATTCAAGATAAAGAAGGAATTCCTCCTGATCAGCAGCGATTGATTTTTGCTGGAAAACAACTTGAAGATGGAAGAACACTCTCAGATTATAATATTCAGAAAGAATCTACTCTTCATTTGGTATTGAGACTTCGAGGAGGAATGCAAATCTTTGTCAAAACTCTCACTGGAAAGACTATTACACTTGAAGTTGAAGCTTCGGATACGATAGAGAACGTAAAGGCTAAGATTCAAGATAAAGAAGGAATTCCTCCTGATCAACAACGTTTGATTTTTGCTGGCAAACAGCTTGAAGATGGAAGAACACTCTCTGATTATAATATTCAGAAAGAATCTACTCTTCATCTGGTATTGCGACTTCGCGGAGGAATGCAAATCTTTGTCAAAACTCTTACTGGAAAGACTATTACACTTGAAGTTGAAGCTTCGGATACAATAGAGAACGTAAAAGCTAAGATTCAAGATAAAGAAGGAATTCCTCCTGATCAGCAACGATTGATTTTTGCTGGAAAACAACTTGAAGATGGAAGAACACTCTTAGATTACAATATCCAAAAAGAATCTACACTGCACTTGGTATTGAGACTTCGAGGAGGAGAGTGTACTTACCATGTAGAAAAAAATATTTCAGCTTGGCTACTTGAAGTTGCTTATATGCAGTTGAAAGATTCTAATAGTCTTTTTAAAAAGAATGACCTATTTTAGAGTTCATAATAATGGGTCATTACGTTAGACTGCCTTAGGGATGTAGATAATATCTAAAGGCATTGTCTAAAAAAATTGATAGTATTGATAGCTCCCCTATGTTACTTTTTTATGTATATTTCATATTCACTACTATTTTTATCAATATATAAGTGTTTATTTATGCATATGTAAAGTCAAGAATATCGAATTGTAGTGATGTAATTACATATGTGTAACTACAATTCTTGTAATACAATTAAGTTCATTAAACAATTATTGTACATTCCTGGCATTAAAGTATTTTTTTTCTCCTATTTTTGTTAGAAATTTATGTGATAATATTATTTCTTATTAGTTCTATTTTGTTTACTATTTTGAAATATTTATATAATATTTTATTGCATAATTGTGTTCATATATTTAATTTATAATTACATTAATATTTACAATATAAAAAAAAATATTTCAAATATTAATATTTACCATATAGAAAAAAAAAATTTTGGCTATTTGAAGTTTTAAAATATTTGATATCTTGTCATAAAAATTTTCAATATACTACAATTATATGTGTACACAATTAAATGTACATGAATTTTAATTTTTCGCGCGATTTTGAACGAATGAAAAACTTGTTTAGCCAATGTCGTTTTAGCCAATTAGAAGAGCGGTAAGTGATGTGGCGTGACATTATTCTTCTGTCATTGGAACAGAACATGTCACAGTTCGATGTGCTGGAACTTCAATTTTTCAGTAAATAATTCTATTCCTGTACTAACAAATTTATAAATTATTATTATATATTTATTTTATAATTTATTGATATTATATAATAAAATTATTTATTTTTATTTTATTTTATTTTATTTTATATATTTATTTGTATTTATATTTTTTCTTCTATCAACTTTTTGACTATTGACCGGTTTTGTATTAAATTTATTATTATAAATGTTTGAAGAATTTGGATTTGGTATTATTTTATTTCAATATAATTTTAATTCTATATATTTGTTTTAAAATTTTTATATGTATTTTTAAAGATTATTATTAAATTTTCAGAATAACTTGGAAGAGGAATAATGATTCATTATATACATACGTTATATATCGCAACGATTTGTATTCAATTTCCAATTTTCTTATTTGGTAATATTTTATTTCTTTTAATAATAGATATATTTAGAATAAGTTTCTATTCACACTAAAATTAAAATAGTTTAGTTTTTATTATAATCAATTTTATTTCATTACATTTCAAGTTTTCATATTAAAGTATCAATGTTTATTATTATCATTGTAAATTGTAAATTTAATAACATTTTATCTTTTATTATTTTCATTTTTTCATCCAATATTTTAAATTAAGTTTTTGTTACAGATTTTTCTCAGTTTTCATATTCTCCAACCTATAGCAAGATATTTCTTGATGATTTCTTTTGGACAACAGTAATTCATGTAACATTTCTTACACATTTGTGGTGAGTCGCATATCTTTTTATACAAAACTTTGTTGAATTATATTATTTTATGATTTAAATATGATTAAAAATGATTAAAATAATTATTATAAAATTATTAATAAAATAACAAGTTATTATAAATATAAATAATTTTTTTATCATGCATAAATTAATTATCATGATGAAAAGTTTATCAAATATCAATTATTAATTAATATTATTAATATTAAATTTGAAGTGAAAATCGATATATTTCCAATTATATATTCGATACACATGTATATAAATAATTGTCGTATTTCCAAGGAAATGCGATTATTTCTTTATGTTTTTTTATTTACGCGTAAAAGCATAAGCTTATTAACGATTTTTCCGCGACTTCCTCGAGCCCTTCGAGGAACATTCATTTTTTTTTATAGTTAATTATTATTGTATTATCCAACCGCGTGAATTGCGTGACCAACATTGTCCCACAACCATGAACCCGGAACTATAAGTGCAAGTTTCATATAATCATTTTTTTTTCTTTTTTCAAACTTTATTATCATTTCCTGTTTGTCGAGACATAATCAACTTGATTTTTCGTTGACAAAGTGATTGTGGAACAAGTGAAATTGTATCGCATTGAAACGTTCCAAATAGAAAGTCTTATGCGCAGATTCGTGATTGCTATGCCTCTCCTCTAATCGTATTCGCGATCGATTGAAATATTAAAATCGAGAATCGATCTTATCAACGTTAAATATAGTTGGATTTTCACGATGATAAGGGTTATAAAATTTACGAAGCATGATATATACTTTGTAAAGAAATCTTGTTAGAAACACAAGTCTAAGATAGTCTTATTTCACATTGTAAATAAATCTTGCTTCCATATTTCTACAAGTTAATTTTACACGCTTTGAGGAAGAATAGTACGTAAAGTGTCATGGTTTCTTGTATAATAATTCAATAAAGTTACGGTGAAATCTAAATCGATCATGTTTAAAACGATCGTTACGGCATAGAAGATACGATGAAAGTGCACAGCAATAAAATGTGTGACATTAAGACTTATTTTTTCTTATGTAAAGTAATTTCCGTGTCTTCTTCTTATGAACGAGAAAGTTTTAATATCAGAAGAATTGTGAATTTTCTAAACCAATGACTAAATTAATCGATGTTTTTGCATTGCACGTTGCATTGCTCTTCTGGATCAACGGTATATGCAATCAGATATAAAAAAAAAAAAAAAAAGTAGTATATAATCATCGTAAGTTTTAAGTAACTTAAATTGCTTACCTCGTTCGAGCAAGCGGTCTTTAATTGTCTGGATCCTCGCGATTTCCTTCTCGTGGAATTCCCTTTGCGAAATATCTTTTCCCGCTATTCAGATGCGATCAATAGAGGCGAATGTAGAACCGAAAGGTCGTGGATTCCCACGTTGCGAAAATTACCCTTGGATAACGGCCATATGTGAAATGTTAGTGATCTCGGTCGTGGGTGGTATCTGCGGCATTCCGTTAGCCGTTGTACCCACCTTTATTCTTTATAATGTGGATCAGAGTTGCGGAAAACGCTTTTACACGCATGAAGTATCTCGTATTGTGGTTCATTGGTATATCGGACGCGGTACAATGTTTTACGTAACTCTTCATTCTAAGAAAACCGTTCTGAACGCGGTTTGATCGTTCTCGATGAGTTTCCTTTTTCAGTTTCTTCGAAAGTTAATTGTTAGGCGGTGTAGCGTTTTCGTAGGATAAGAAATTTTATCTTTCATTGCATTTTTGCACGATAAATTTTTACGAATATACCGAAATCGCGACGATTTCAACGGTAAGAGAGAAACATAATTGAAAATTTAATTTCGAAACATTAAAAAATTTCTGATTTCACACTTTTACTTTTTATTTCAATTATTACTTTTAATAATAAATTACAATAAAATAATATAACGATATTTCGATATATCAGATTTTAATTAAACCAAATTTCACGAGTTTGAAATCTCTTAAGACGTGAAATTGAATTTCTGAAATAAACTATTCGCTGAGAAATAAACGATTATAGTAAAAGGTCTATCGTAGTAATAATATTATAAAGTTAATGATTATTAGATCGATAGGAGAAAGTGCTATACGACGATGATTTTCATTATAATTGAGTTTATACGAGGCTAAGATCCTTTTGATAACACGTATTCACGAAGTTTTACACTCGAAAGTCCATTGAATTTCATTCATAATTATTCATTGAAGTTTTACGGACCATCTTTACGCGTTCTTCCAATTTAACTCTTATATTTTTATATTCTTCTAATATTTCCCTTTTCCGTCCCAAAATCAGCTTACTTACTTACTTATTTATTTTAATGCCAATTATTCAAGAATTTACGCGTATTGGATAACGAGCAAAATTTTTCACATGTTTACACGAAGCGAGAGTAAACACGGTAGTAGAAAGATCCACGACCGATTCAAGATCAGTGAAAACGCCAATTATTACGGAGAAATCATTAATTATGTCGCTCGTATATTTTTTTTTTTTCTTTTCTTTTTTTTTTTATTCTTCTTCTCCCCATAAAGTTCCTTCCCTCCTTCCCCTCTTCGCCACCGTTTCCATCCTCCTCTCCTTTCATTTCCTTCTTTTTCTAAGCCTTCTCTTTCACCGTTGTTGCATTCTTTCGCGATGTTAATTATGCGAAGGACTCCCACGACTCGAGAACGCCGCTTCAAGATCATGGACTACGGTCGTGTCAGTCGACTTTTCTAATTATATTATTTCCCAACATTTTCATCGTGCTCGATTTTCACGTTTCCTCCCTTTATCTTTTATCTCTTCTTGCCCTCTTCGTGCGCACGCATGAAAATATACACATATATATGTATATATATATATTCTCTATACTCGAGCGGAATTTTAAAAGTCGACAGATGTTACGTTCCTCCTTGAATCGAAGGTGCTCGGCCTGACCATCGGGCCTTATGGTTGGTAAAAATGGTGTCAACGAACGTTCTTTGAAATTTAAACAAGACGAGCTGTCGGCCACGTGAATTTACTTTCACGGTCTTGTTTATTCTTGATTGAAAGAAAAGAAAGAAGCAAGAATGGTTAATATTTTTATACGATTGGGAAATTAATCATTGAAATATTGGAGAGAAAAATTTGTTCGTACATATACATATATTTTTCTTTCCTCTCGGTATTTTCTGGAAGAGTGAACAAAAACGTTATGAATTTTTCGCCGGCAAATCGATATTTTGTTGAAAGAAAAAGTGTTTAGAAGTGAAAACAATTCTTGATATAAGTTTAAACCTTCTC